GAAGCAGTTCCCTATTGGATAACGTGTGTTAGTGTTTGTTCGGTGTATTGAAACTTTAGGTATGAAACAGACGAACCAAACGTACCGAAAAAAAAGTACACCAACAATTTGTGATATTACAGTACTCTTGTTGTTGGGTGTTGCCGGTTGAATGCTGTTCACGACAGCTATCCTATGCCTAAATATGGGCTTGTATATTCTGATTGTCTGATCGCTGACAGATACGGACGCAGCGAAGCTCTCTCCTGCGCCCGCATGCGCCGAGATCCCACTGCTGTCAACGGATGACACTGCAGCCCAGTCGCCAGCGACGGCGGCAGCTGATGCTGCTGCTTCGTCAGGAGATGGGAACAGCTCACAAGGCGGCAAGCCACCTCCATCACCGCCATCCTGCCTGCTCTCGGACATGGCCTGTCTCAGCTCGTATGAGATTGATGGCTTGCGACGGCTGCTGGCGAGCTGAACGTTTCCACGACGATGGTGAGGGCGTGTCCCAAGGAGCTGGGGGATCCTGGGGAGCTCATGTCGACCGTGGAGGTAAGTTGTCGTGTGTGATGTGTGGGTAAAACCGAAGTTACCGAAAATAAATCTCCACCTAAATTTTCCGGTTTTACAGTAGCCTATCTTCAGGGACATACATAACTATTGGCATAGATTTGCTTAATCGTTATGCCTTGTGTTCTCTTGTCAAATGTACACCGTAGATTTTGTTGAACGAGTATGAAAGCCAGTATTTTCCTCTGCAATGTACAATCATTTTCCTGTGCAATGTATGCTGTATATTCTGTTGAATGAGTATGAATTCTCCTGTGCAACGTGCGCTGTAGATTCTGTTGAACGAGTATGAAAGCCGGTTTCGCGAGGACAAGGCCACTGGACATTTTATGCTCATACCGGGAATACAATCTGAGGTATGGCGTGGTGAATTGTTGTGTGGTACTGCTGCTGCTGCTATTGCTGCTAATAGTGCAGCTATTGCTGCTGCTGCTGTTGCTGATGTTGCTCTCCTCTCCATCCCCACCATCTGCCTGTGGAATATTTGACAGTGGCAACATGTACATGTACATGTAGTAACAGGTATATGTTCATGGTGTTTCTTTCCTTCTGCGTGTGTAGAATCTGCGTGTGTCGCCCGCACCAATACCTGACAACATTGTGGAAATAGTTGCAGTTGAAACAGAGATTGTATGCAAGTTCTCAGCTGCTACTGCATCTCCAAGAAAGACAGCAGGTAAGCTACAATGACAGGGGCGTCACAGGGCGGTTGGGAGTTGTACAACGGGGGTGTCCCCCGGGAGAAAAAAATTCGGATTTTTCGGCCAACAGGGCACGTTTTAGCGCTCTACAGCCACAAAGGAGGGTTCTCCTAGCACTTATCAGACAACCCCACTCGTACTCCAGCTCCAAAAATACTTCTCATAGATTTGTTGGTCGTACTTCGTAGGTAGCCAAAGCAAAAAGGAAGCCATTGCCCTCGAAAAAATCGCAAAATCCGAAGTACAAGCGTGCTGCTTGCTGCACGTTCTAGCGCCAGCCGCTGTACAAAAACGTATGTTATTACCACAATGACGATGATATTGCTTTCACAACAATGACCACAACCTAACTGGGTTATCAGTAGGAGCAGTGACACAGCCTTACTGCTCCAAGTAGGACTTAGAAGAGAGTGCAGGGAGAGCAGACCGGGCCGGTCTAAGCAAGGAAGTAATCGGCATCAGAGGTGAGCACGCAGCATCGCAGATTGTCTCGAATTGCGCATCACACCAGCGGCAAAATTGCTCCTGTGCATGCAAGTGGATTTCCTTGCACTTCTCAGTTTGGGAAATGCTCGATTACGATAATTCTGCGTGCGAGTGCACTAGCCCTGAACATACCTGTAGGTGACCCGTTTGTGGTGTCTCATAGCCTACCTCACGACCTTCTGCTTTCTTTCTGCATCACTTGTATCTTGCAGGTATATCATCTCGTGACGACCACATTGAAGTCTGAATTTGAAGTGCGAAGATGCTTCAGCAACCACATCGTACTTTTCCATTGCTTTCATTGTGCTTCTACTGTGCATGTGTGTAACTTGTGGGGTATACATGTGATGACATTGTATGCTGGCGACACGGTCAGATTTTGTCCATGCGTGGAACGTACACCTGCATGTTATGCATCGAAAAGGATCTGCCACTTGCGATCCTGGGAAAAGTATCAGGTCAGCTTTGTCTTGTGTGGGCTGCACCAGATTGCTGTTCACTTTTCTATCTGTTGGATATGTGACTTTCTGCAAGTCTCTGGTGTATGGTGGCCACTTCTTTGCTTGTCACTTTGTATGATATTACATTCTGTATTCGCTGCTTCCATGGCGTGGTCTGCAAACTGCAACCCTTGGGCAAATGTCATGTTTGCTATGTTGTGCTTTGGCCGTCAGCTTGTCTACACGTTGTAGTTGAATTATTTTTTTCCACAACTGACTTCCTGAAGTACGGTGGCCACTGCTTTGCATGGCATTTTACATGAAGAATTTCCTGTTTGTGTCGTGTGCATGTGCGTATGTGTGCCGTGTGCATCCGCGTGTTTGTGTATCTGTGTGCGGGGTAAGCGAGGTGGGGAGGGCTGGTATGTATCAGTGTGTTATCGTACTCTCATGCCTACATACAGTACATCGCGCGCGTGTTCATCATGTTTACCTTCGGGGTTGGGGTGGGGAGGGAACGGAAAAAGAACTGAAATTATCCATATAAAATCGCTCTGTGAGCGCTTCTGAAAAACCTTTACTGGCGCTGCCGTGTCGTAAAAGTAAGAAATTAAAACTGGCCCATTAGAGACGTTAAGATGCACGTTATTTCCGACGTGACGCGCAATTTCACGTCAAATTCGGCGTAAAACTCCAAATTTCGACGTGAGCAGGTCACTCGCATTGATTTTTCGACGTGCGAGCAAATAACGAGAGCTGAACTTCCGCGTCATGTCAGAAATAACGTGCATCTTAACCTCTCTATTGTCCCCCCAAATGTGAACTGATCCACCTAAATTGCGAATGACGGGACCCGGAGGCACCAGTAGCACGAGGTCAGGAGAGCACAGGATCACAGCACATCATAGGGTAACACCATCACTAGTACATGGTATCAGTGGCAGTGTAACTTTGCTAGTCACATAGTTACTTCCATCGGATATCCAACATGGGAGTTCATCGACGACCATGGCCTGTGGACCAGCGTTCCCAGCTGCATCCACAGGTAGGAACCTGATTGATTGATTGATTTTATTTGGATTCGCGAGACCAAACGAGCAGGAGTGCTCAATAACAGGGTAGCGAATGGTTGAGTTGTGCTGTGTGACAATGTAGTGTGTGCGGAGGCCCAATACGATGTAAGGGGATGGGAGGAGAGAAGGCCAGCGGAGAGTCAAACTCAGAAGAGGGAGGAGAGAATAACTGAAGTACACATTTACTGTGCGAATTCAAATAAACCAGAAAAACAGCAAAACGAGTACACAGCTCACGAGAATAAAGAGGACTGGAGGACAGAATTGAACTGCTGAAGTACACGGCTGACGAGAATAAAGACAGGAGCACAGAAATGAACGGGAGGCAGTCTAGGCAGAGCTGGTTGTGGGTCAAGCCGGAGCCATTTGCTGACGATCCGTATTATCAAATCCGGCATGATGACAGATAGGAAGTACTTGCTTCGACTAGCTAGAGTGAGGCAGCGTCGCGCCCGCCACAGACTACCGATCTTCCTAGCAGTGCGTGAGATGCACCGGTCAACTTGCGGTTACCAGGCCATTCGTTCATTGATTAAGACGCCGAGGTATTTCGCGCTGGTGGTGTGCGGAAGGACATCATTTCGACAGCGTACAACCACGTCCGGCTGCTGCCCACTGCAGCTGGTAAAAACCAATACATTGCTCTTCTTTGCATCTAATACAAGACCACGAGCGTCCAGCCAACTTGAGAGGGAGGTAACAACCAAGCTGAGCGCATCAGACACCTCTTGCGCTGTCCGTCTTGCACGTGTCAGGGCGATGTCATCCGCAAACTGCAGTGATGATGCCGGCGCAGATTCCGAGGGGATATCTCTGGTGTATATGGAGAGCAGCATGGGTCCTAGTACAGAGCCCTGCGGCACACCACAAGTGCACCATCATGCTACTGCTGCGTTCGGGTCACGTCAATCGCGATTTAGGTGGATCAGTTCACATTTGGGGGTACAATGAGCCAGTTTTAATTTCTTACTTTTACGACGGGGCAGCGCCAGTAAAGGTTTTTCTGAACCGCTCACGTTCACAGAGCGGTTCAAGTAATAATTATGGATAATGTAGATAATACTCAATATGCTACCTGTGGTGTGGTGCAAGCTCAGCACTGAGCTAAATCAAACAATGCTACATACAGCCTACACAGCCTCTAATGGCCCTCTATACAGTGCTGCGATGGCAGAACTTCACATCACCTTTCTTCCTCCAGCTACGCCTGTGACACCCTTTGTGAATCAAACACTAGTGGCAGGCCACGCGAAAATGAGAATGCGCGCAGCCAAGATTAGGCCATCATCTCCTTCATCCATCATCCCGGCGGTCACTCCGCCCGTTCGATATCCAACACCAGTCCCCAAGAAAGAATAAGGCACGAGATTTCAAGTTCAAGGGCAAAGCTAAAGGCTAAAGCCAATGAATGGCACTGATTTATTGTCGAGTAGAACGAAAATAAATAATCGAAGGCGATCATGACGGTCAGATTCGACACACACGTGACACAGTTTGGGTCGCGCTCGCGCGTGTGTCGCGCTTCGCATTTGCTGCAGCTCGAGCGCGCCCATGATGAGTCTCGCGCTTGCGACAGGCTAGCCAAAAGTTGTCTTTTTTTACGAATTCTGTGGCGTCATGTTTTGGAAGAATGTCCCAACAATCATTGTATTATTATGAATGGTCCCGGACACCTCAACACCAACAACATGCATCAGATACATGTTGTCAAATGAGCACGGAGGAGCGAACAAATCGAAAGAGCAGAGAAATCAGCAGTGAATGAATGAAGTAGTGTTGTTCGAGGGTAGTACTGATCATAACTACATGTTATCACAGTCCGTTGTTCAGATCCAAGCTGTGTACATCAACCCAGTGAATGTTAGAGACGGGACTACATGATGTATTTACCTACTTTTCAGTATGGTGTGTGATGGTTGAGATGTCCGTATTGACTACAGACCTTGTGTGTTGTACAGTGTAGACCTTGATCGATCTCGACCTGGAGTAGGTCCAGTGTGACTACGACCATGAGCAACGTGTGTGTAAACAAAACCAACCTGGACACCAGTATAGCAGCAGTCAACGGAGAACAGGGACTGACTAAGGGATTGCATATCATTCACCATCCACATCACACCATCGCCTGCGGGGACCATGCTGAGAACGCATTGCACGGAGCTGTCCAAACATACCAGACTTTGACATACGCTTGTCATACATTCGTGCTATGTGTCCAAGCTAGCCTAATCCATTCTCCCTGATGTTGCCTGCTACTTTGAAGCAATCTATGTGGTGTGTGTTGGTAGGTAGCAGGGTAGTGGAGATGACTTGATGGTGGCACTGCTGCTCTTGCCGTGACTAATGATCATACATGTACTGTAGATACTGGAAATGTAACAGATGTCTTCCCAGTACAACTCTCCACTATATACACTGGAGAGTAGTGAACACTAAATGTGATGTGCACTTGACATCCACAACAAACAGATCATGAGTGCAAAGATAGAGGAAACGAACAACGTTTTTCTTTCTGAAATTGAGTGGCTTAGAAATCATCACATCCTGCACTTCTGCTGCAAGATTTACAACTGTGTCTATAGAGTTTATGCTACATGCTACAGGCACAGGTCAATCCATGGCTAGGGATAACGGATATAGCTGGTTGGTATATCATCTAGCACTATCTGATGTAGCAACCAGCTATGCATGTATGTCAGTCTCAACGAGGTGGCAGGAACAGTACCAGTGAACAGTATCGTCTTCAACACGCAAATGACCCGTTACCAACGGTAGTCTCAGCTTTCACATACATACGCATACTTGTTACTGAGGCAGACAGGTGTTGAAAATGTATTCGTAAATCCTACTAGATTTGTACTGCTGGGGACAACTACCAAACAAACATAACCTAAAAAAAAGATAACACTCTTGTAGCGACACAATCAGCATACGTTATTGTTACAGTACTTCTGTGATATTTCCACTATAGTCACATTGTCTTGAGTAGCAGACAATTCTCGCACATCCTACCAATGTTCTGTGGTGAGGTGTGAATTATGTAGCTGTAGGTTATTTCTGTTTGTGTAAATCACACCAGTAGAGAACTTCCCCTATATTTAGCCATGTAGTCGTATAGTCTCTAATTTCACATTTCATTTTCATTCTATATGATGATCCTGATGACAGACACGTTTGATCATTCACTTGAAAACGTATCGCTATGACTCGCAACCGTTGAGTGTCAGCCAGAGTTTGCAAAGGCGCTCCATGGGATGCAGTAAAACTTGTCGCTGAGGTAGTTTATAGCTTATGCATAGCTTCGTAGCAGATCACCATCTCATCACGTGATCTCATTACGTAAATATCTGCTAACCCGACCGACCGGAGTGCCTTGTGCCAGCTATAATACTAGTAAGTAGAGGTGACTGGATGGTCGTGTGGAACAGTGCTCTCTCACTTACTTGTATAATATTACTACGTCATCTCTAGGCTCAGTGGAAAGAGAGGAGAATGTGAGGAGAGTGGGTGTTAGCCAACCATGGTGATAAAGATACATGTAAGTAGAGTGATATGGAAGAGTAGCAGCAGCAAAACTATCAGCAACTCATGTTATTGTCTTTGTGCAATGTGCTGATAAGGACTTTTCAGAACAGTATGGAAGCGATTCAGAAAAGGTAAAACGAGGGTTGTTGCAAATGCTGAGACACACAAGATAATAATGGAAGCTCTTTTTAATGACTGACATTCCATACGTTAGTATGACGGTATGTATTGCCAGCATAAACCTACTGTGTGCGATGAACTTTGCATAGTGACGTAGGCGAGGATGAGCGTGTCCTGTCAAGATCTTTCCACTGTGAGTTGTAGGATTGAGAGTTTAGCAGATCAGTAGATGACTACACACACTAACCTACTGTACACAGATGCAAGTGAATAGTTTAGCAATGCCGGTGACCTGTGTAATGATAGAGAATTTCTCTGTCATTCTGCTAGTCTAGTGCATACATGTCAGTATGGGAGACAGTGCTACTGTCCTCACTGCATGACTGTAGCTGATCAGGGATGATGCGTATTCTCACACTGCCCGGCATTGGAATATTCCAAATCATCAACAGATCAAATCATCAACAGCCGGCATGACAGGTCAAATCTTCAACAGATCTCATGACAGATCAAGTCATCATCAACAGCTCTTATGACAGATCAAATCTTGGACAGATCACAAGACGTATCAGTCATGAGAACACATCTTACCAGCAATGA